CTCATTTTTTGACTGCCTAACTGTGCTATGGTCCTCTTGCTTCGAAATTCTTGTTAGTATTCTAGGCAAGGCGTATAGCTATTCAAAAGCGCAATCTGAAAAAGCTCAAAAATCTTGGCATCGATTACGGTCTGGAAGCAATGTCGACAAGCACCTCCATGGCTGTAAGTTTTCAAATGTTCAGTTTAACGCCACTCTTTTTAATTTCCAATTTTCTTGTATATGAGTTTGTGGGGCTAACTTTATCATAGCGATCATGGTGAGATAAGAAATGCTTTCGTAGTGAATCACAAAATTGATGAGTTCAATTTCAGTTTAAGTCCCCTGCGATCCTTTTCTAATTAGGGAGGCGTCGAGTTTTTTTTCCTAATATATCCTTTAAACTAAGAATCGCTTATGATATTTATGGTGTGTTAGAGCTATAATTGAAAATTTTCGTTTCAGGACACCTCAGAAATCAAAGAAGTCAAGAAATCAGAAGATGATGTGAGTTATATTTTTGATGTTCGCGACTAGTTCTCTAGAAATATCGTATTTTCGGGCTGGATGAGGTGAAAGCGAACTGAAAAAGGCAAATGAAATCTACCCGTCGAAGCGTCATTTAATTCCATTTCTGTTTTTCGTTTTCAGATGGAAATTTCGATGGCGCCCAAGAAGAAAGTTAAGAAAGTAAAAGTGCCTGTCAAGAAAGTAAAGAGTTTGAAATCGTCCGTGAAAAAGAGGAAGATAATGCATAAGTGATAGTTGTTTTAAGGGACTGTTGGAAGTGTTACTAATTTAAGCTACGTGCGACTGCATTGCTGTTGCTTAGTGATTTTTGTTACAGATTTTATTCATTCATAATCAATGTATATGTTGTTTGTCACTTGTTGATCCTTTTGTTGTTACCGAAAAGAAAGTTGAAGAAGACTGTAGTTGATGCTGACATTCAGTGTACCTGCCTCAGTCTGTTTGAAGTTTGAGTTCTGACTTCCAAAGTGAAGTGGGCCGATGAGATCGTACGAAGAGGTGCAGCTGGCTGTCACCCTTACCCAGTCCAAGGGGTAGCCTCCGCACCAAATCACGTTCGAAGCAATCGAGCTTTCCATACTTCCAGTGTTCATTATCTGACGCAAGAGTCGATTGAAAGGAAAGAATCACTGGTTTGTATGTCAACTTGTTGCCTCCGACAGCTTTCCGAGTGTGCGGGCTGTAAGGCACTCCAAAATGGCTAATCAAGAGCACTCAAGCTCGGACTTCGTGGTCCCAGATCTTCCGTAAGCGTTTTTTTTTTCATTTGGTGTTCGATGTTTCAAGTTTAAGCATGTGATATTTCATGCTCATCTAGAATTTGGATCATAGGAACTGATAACAAAACTACTTGTTTCACATTGCCCATTTCTATTTTTACACTGAGAAGGTATGAGAACTTTTAAGACACTTCAAGACGTCATCGGCAGTTAGCGCAGTGCTCACGGTGCCTCGCCCTTCAAATCATCATTGAAAGTGCTCCGCATGTGAGTATTAGTGATGCAGAAATGCGAATCGGACGCCTTCGAAGTAATTTGCTTTATAGGTACGTATTATTAGAAAATAGCCAAAGTAACATTCGCATCGAGTGTGGTTTTCAATGCTGGGAATGTGATTAAGCCAAATGGACGCATTGAGCAATAATGAAAATTTCGGCTCAGCTCAAGGGAAAGGAGACACGCGCACTGAAAAAGTGGCTGTCATTTTGACCGTCCGACATTTTACCAAGCAAATCTAATGTGTTTGTAAGGCGAAGTCTTTCTTTACCCTGCTTTTGTAAGCGGAAGAACAGGTGAACCAAGAGTTACTAACCAAACATTTTCTGAGCATTGGTGAATTTTATCGGTATGGGACATGCGCTCGCTCTCACTTTTCAGGCATAATTGTTTGCGTTGGTTAAATTATTTTGGAATTTTAAAGAAGGGACATTTCATCACATCAACGGCATAGCGCTTCGACGTAATCGTCGTCTTCAGAGGCCACGGTTCCATCGCTGAAGCGGACAGAATCCGCTGTCGAAGCAGGCAACGGTCGGAGCGAACGACGACGGTTACATCGAAACGTTTAGCAGAGGCCGAAACGTAAGCTGGATAAATTTGTGAAACTCGGAAAGGCTTTAAACATTTCACGAGACAAGTTCAGCTATGCCGAGATTGAAGAAGTCGAACATGGTCCGTTTGGCAGATAGTTCAAATGGTACCAACTAAAAACCTCAAAGGACAGAGGACTATTACCAATGCAAACTAATGATAGTCATAACTTGTAATCCATCAGTGATAATAATATACGTTTGTTCCAACAATGTATAAAATGGGCTGGTTCGGGTACGGCCTTTTAACATCTGGTATGGTGGTGAGAACTAGCAATAAGTAGATCGACAACCCCTTCCCCTTTCCATAATTCTTTTCATCCTGAATGGTAAACTTTAGTTGTAAAATACGTTCCCTTCCCTCACAGCAATACCCTGGTACATAGCAAGCGCTGCGCAGAGGCTGTAAGTTATTATACTACTTGATTGCTAATGAGGAACTCGCTGAATTTGGCTGGGTCCGATCACGATCTGTTGAGTAATCGTTGATACTGTTTCAGAAGGTTATCCCGTGTGACACATCAGGTGCAATGAACACTCGTTGAATTGATGAAAGTTCCATCGACCTTGGATGACTTTGAAAGCCAATATGGGTAGTTGAGCTAATTATTAGGTTGTTCGTAAGTAAATGCGTTTGAGCTTAAAAATTTTATTACTATAAAAATGGAACTAAATAGGGTCAATTCAAAAGATAATCTCCATTACTATCAATGACTTGTTGCCAAAGTTTACGCAAGGAATGGTTTACTCTTCTNCAAGCTTTCAGTAGACATTTAAGTTTGAAACAAGTTAAAGTAGTATGTTGAAAAGATGAGAGAAAAAGTAGTTTGCTCTAGCTGTACCCCAATCTGACCGCTTCTGGTGAACCTTTTTTACCGAGGTGACGATGACCATCAGTGTTTATTTATGATCGCGATGGTGTTTACAATGGAGGTGTCGTAAATCTGAGGTTCATCGGGTGAATCTGATTCATCGCTTTCGTATCGCGATGCTATGATAACGATGGTGCGCGATTGTAGACGACGATTTGCTGCTGCTTATGTTAGTGACCTCATCGAACGACGTGGTCGATGACGCAACTCGTCCAATGATCCGTCTCCGTTGTGGTCGTTCATCATCGGACCATGCTTATTAAACGGGCGATATACAATTGTGATAGACATCTATTCATTATCTCGGCACCTTGCCATCATTTACGCTACGCTGAGACATGTACTCTTGTATGAATGAGATTTCCGAGATACTTCCACTCAAACACTATGAAAATAACATTTCAGGGTTCCCCTACAGTCTGATGAGCTGTTGATCCATCATTTCCAAGGAGTGCCGTGCTCATCATCCTGAATCGAAGCATTTCGATTTTCAAGGTACCACAGAAAGGCTTTTTATTAGACTTCTGCGCCCTTTTCATTCGCCTGGATATAATAGAGTTACTAATTACTAATGATATTTCCAACCCTGCTCTTGTTTTAGCCTCGGCATAATTGTTTGCGTGTTAAATTAT